TTATCTTTGAGTTAATAATCTTTGCCGCTGTTTCGAATGCCTTTTTTGCTTTATCACAAGTATTATTTGAATCACAAGTGAAATCCATTTGAATCATGTTTTGAGAAGGGGGCTTATTTTTTGAAGAGTCCTTATCCTTTAAGGAGACATCGACGTCTAGTTGAAATTTACTTCCTTTACTTAAGAAACTTTGTGATTTTTGTTTTTTATTTTCTTTAATGATTTGACAGTGTGATTTTGCGCATTGACGATCATAAAAGACCGGAAAATCCACACATTGTCCTGAAACGATGGGTATATATGAAATGAAAGTGTACGAAAAAGTAGTGATTAAAAGTAATGGAATGGCGAAAAATGATGGTTTCATTTTTTTTTTTTTTTTCTGAAGAGAAAATTCGATAATTGTTCAAAAAGAAAGTTATTAAATTATAGTCGATGTGCAAAATGACGTAGATGACGTAGTTGTTGAATACAAAGATATTTTTTTCTTTAATTATTATCAAACTAAATTTTGAAATGTTTAAAGAAATTCTTTGTTATAGGTTCTTTGTATAAATATTTATGTGTATGCTAACTGTTTTTACATGTCAAGATACAATTTGATCTTTGCTGTCTTTTTAATATACGTGCTAGAAAGATTGGTCACCACGTATATAGTTTGCACAGACTTATGCTAAACGACGTAAGACATAGGCAAGTTCCTGCTATCTGCGTCCTGCGTCAGATTCGAACAAAGATATGAAAGTCTTATAATGAATATGAGAATACGGCGACTGGAAAACTCATCTTTCTTACCTTATATGCATTTTGAGAAATTAAAATTTTACAAATTTATATTATACTTGTGCACATTGTGAAAAATTTGATCTATAAATAATAAACAATTGTTTATTTTCTTGAAACGGTAAGTATTGTTAATAACATAAGTACACACCCGTTAAGATATACATTTATGCTAGATTTATTAATCTAGCGTTTCAATAATTGTTTAAGTGATTTTTTCGGATTTGACCCTAAAAAAAATTACTATAGAAATTATAATAGTATCTCGGTCGTATTCCCTAAAAATAGTATTGAATCTATGTTTTGCTGTAAATGTTGGTGATAGCATTTACATACATATTTGATATATTACATTACATAGTACGTATGACAAATTAATAAAAGTATAATATTAATGCGAACTTGACGCTAATCTTTTTGTTTTTCTATATTAGAAATACTCAGGATACAATCGATCAAATTCGTTTGTTATGTACCATAGTTAAATGTTTCGGAAGTACAATGGATACAAGCTTCCGATTATGGCCCTCTGAAGCCAGATCTGTTACACAAATTCAACGTCTAAATCTTGGCATCACGTAAATCATTTGTTTCATTTTTTAGAGAATTGCTGTATATATTACATAAGTAATTAAAATTCATCACTTTTGTGATGATTAAAGAAAAAGAAATTGAAGCTTTAGAAAGAATAATCCAATTCCTTTAATAAAATTGAGTACCCGTCAATTAGCTATCGATAACAATAATGGCCGTAGCCTAAATTACTAAGAACTGTACAGTACTTACTGTTGCTATCTTTAAAATCAATTATTAAATATTGTATTAAACTTTATTCATGCATACTCTTTACACCAAGGCATGTTAAGCTGTTACTGATTTGCACAAATATTTTCTACTATGTAAGCAAACGAGATAAACAATAATTCATAATAAGCTCAAACGTAGCGGTAAACCAAAACAATATATAATAATATTATTGTGTTGATGTATCAATTTAATTATGCTGCATAATTCAAATTTGTAATATTCGTGCTTGGCAAGAGTTACTTATGTATATAGCTCAAGATTATTTTGTGATAGCGGTCACGCTAGTGTTGATTTCCTTCGATTTGCCTTGATCAGAAGATGAAGACGATGTTGAGGATGAGGATGACGTTGAGGATGATGACGATGACGAGGACGACGATGATGATGATGATGAGTCAGATAAATCACTAGACTCATCACTTGATTCACTGGAAGACTCGTCATCTTTTTTGGCAGTTTCCTTTTTATGCGTGTTATTTCCTAGCTTTTCTATTTTAGTCGTGTCACACGACGCCTCTGATTTTGAAGAATCTGATTCTACACTATCCTCACTATCATCATCGCTTTCTTGTCCTATTGCATTTGCATTCAATTTTCCATAAATCTCCATCATTAATCGTTCAACTTCCTTTAAATCATCTTTTCCCAATCTCATTATAATCCTTTCCGTCTTATTTTTATCATCAGCGTTTGATAAACAATTTACCAAAAATTTTAAAATAGCTAATTTAGTTTGGTCCAAGTTTAACCATTTGCTAACCATCAATCCAACTTCCCAGACATTATCGTCTGATTTCCATGATTTGGGAAGAAATTTTAACAATGAATCTGTTAAGTTTGTTAAACCAGGTACGCCAAATTTTTTTGCTAAGTATGCGATCGCGAATAATTCATCAGTAGTTCTTTGCTGAATTGACCATCCGTAACTAATTGATAAAAATCATAAACATCATTCAAATAGAAAAAGTCTTTTAGATAAAAAAAAAAAAAAAAAAAAAAAAAAAAAAAACTAACCAATACGCTAAAAATTGACCAAAAGTTTCATAATCATAATAAATCTCAACTTTCCTTTGATCTCTTGTCACTGAATAATTTTTGCTATTTTCACTATTCTCTCTCGTTTCATGAGTTACGGCATCTTTGTATTCATACCACACACTAAGAACAGATTTTTTAGAACAACTAAAATCAAAATATTTACCTTTATATTCAGAAAAAATTTTACAAAAACATTCAGATTTTAATGAAAGAATGACTTTATGTGCATAATAAATTTTTCCATCAACGCGAATTATTAAGTCGCTAGTTGTTTTGTCGTTTAATAGTAATCGAATTTTTGGTAATGGATCCATGAAAACTATAAAAAAAAAAAAAAACAAAAAAAAATGGTAAATTTCAAGGATATAAAAATCGTTCGGCAAAGGACATAATTCTTGTTTAAAATAAATATTATGCAATATCATGATAAAAAAACTTTTACTGATGTCATTATAAAATATAATCATACTGCGAAATAAAAAATTTTTATACCGAAATAAAAAAAACTGTAAGATACTGTATTTTTTATTCTCAGTTTGAAAACATTAACTTGAACAGCCTTACGATTAAGCCTTTTTTTTTTTAAAAAAAAAGAAAAGATAAGATAATCATAAAAAGTATGATAAAAAAAAACCATTTAACTCGATCATGATACGTAAAAGTAAAAACTTCTCGATCATTATTCGTAAAGTGAACGTTAATAGAAGATCAAGTTAATAGCAAAGAAAC